TCCTCTCCAAGTTACATATAATACCTAATGTAATGTAAATGCTGTGTAAATAGTTGTTAAGCTATATTGTTTAAGGAATGATGACAGGAAATTTTCTGTGTACGTTCAGCATAGACTCAGCCATTATAAGCCTAACTACATGGCATGCATAGCAAAAACAGGACATTTTCTCTCTGTGGCTGGTGGAATTTTCACATGCAGAATTCACAGATAAAGAAGTCTGACCACCATAATGAGCTAATGGATACGAACAGATCTTGGTTCTCAGGCAAAAATTACTCACAACCAGCTGGACGATCAGGAGCCCAAGAATGTTCTGCCACCCTCTCTTTTGGCAAATATTGTATTTGGATTGCCCATTTCTCATTCATGGGTAAGTAGACAGAAACAACAGAATTCACTGAAGTTTAGCAGAGACTAGGGAAAGGAGCAAGGAAAAGGACCTTCCCTCTGAAAGTAGAATCAAGTGAAAGTTGTAGAACATGCCTGTTTGGTGTTCTTTAATATTTTAATCTCTAAAGGGGATGCAAATACAATTTGGATTACTTAAAAACAACAACAAGAAAAGCAGGGACCATCACAGTCTGGGACACAAAGGGAATGGACTAAGATAACAAAAGGATACAAAGAACTGAAATAAAACAAGATTAAAATCTTCAGTAGATTTTACCTCTCTCTAACTGGATCAATGATTGATATCCACAGATGATTTTCAGATTATAAACTCTTATCTCCCACAGTCCTCTATGTGGAAATTACAAATTCATCTTTTACCGGCCATGTTAATATTCTCTTTATTAGTTTATGGTATTGTTTGTTGCCTGGTTTTTAATCAAAATGTTTTTCTTTAAAACTGTATTTCGCAGTAAAGACTGTCATAGACAATTCAGTACATACTTGCAGAATAACCACTGGCGTGAGTTTCGAATGTTCACAACATAATGTTAAATGTTGAAGGTGGTAATATGTTCATATCCCTAATCTGTTTACTACACACTGTATACATACTTTTAAAGACCATTCTGTACCCTACAAAGGCGTGTAATGTTTAAATGTAAATTACAAATTACAGTAAATATTTAAAGAGATAAAAGGGAAAGTCTTTAATAGAGATGGTAAGCAGCAGAATTAATTCCACAGGAAAAAAAATTAGTGATGTGAAATACAAAACAAAGAGATGAAAATGATTAAAGATTATAAATATGGAAACAAAGAATGGAAATCTAATTAAGAATAATTTGTGTCCCAGAGGAAAGAGCTGGATAGAATAAGAGAAAGGCAATAATCAAAGTGGTCTCCAGGAGCAGTTTGGAGGTGGAAAACGACCCTGGTGTACAAATTAGAAGCTCTCACTGAACTCCAGTCAGCATAAATGCAGGGACATATACTTGAACATGGGATGGAAAACATTTTTAATTTCAAGGACAATGAAATATTTCTACAGTGTTGAAAAAGAAATGGATGATCTTCAAAGAAAAACTTGGGTCACCACCCAAACTCTTTTTGCTCTATCCCACATTAACTAACAGAAGGAACTGGAAATGTTTCAACACAACTTTGAAGGAGGTCATTGTGTGATTTTAGATTTTTTTTATTTAACCAAACTAAGTTGTCTGTCATGAAAGGAAGAATAAAAGGTAATATCAGAATTATAAGAATTCATAAAATAGAATGTTCACAAATACTTAATTATCAATGATTTTAAAAAGTTCTCTAACAGATATTTAGATGACAATTATACACTCAGCATTGGGACAGTCATAGAAAAACTGAAGTGAATATAGAAAGCTATTATGGGGAACCAGTAGTTAGCGTAACGGCTATGTCGCTGGACTCCCACGTAGTCGACCGCAGTTTGCGTCCCGGACCAGGTGGCTTAAAACTCACGCCGGGCATGTGTGCATGCATGCCCAAGATCCCGAGAGGAGAATGGAGGAGAAGGGATTGCAGCGTGACCATCCCCCCTGGGAGGTGATTTCTCGCTTTCTGTCTCTCTGTCTCTCTCTGTCTGTCCAGTGAGTGCACGCGCCCTATAGCAAAAAACCTCTCAAAAAAAAAAAAAAAGAAAGAAAGCTATTATGTATAATAAAGTAGCAGTAACTCTTGTAAAATTTATTGAAAAATTAAATATAGAAGTCAAATACTATTCTAGAAAAAGATGCAAATAGTACAAAATGTGTTATCATAAATCTCAAATTAAACTTGCAAGGACTGTAAAGTGTTGGGAAAGAGGTAAGAAGGTAGAAGTTATATACATTTTCTTACACATACAAGGAAAGATGAAAAGATTCAGTTTAGTGTTTTTAAAGTTGATAATTTAAGAAATGGTGGCTTAAATAATACAGTTGATAAATGGAAAGCTACTCATCAGTATAAGCAAAATGTGGACATCTGCAAGTTCTTTATAGAGAAGACAAAAGGCCAAGTAAAAGACCAAAAAGAAACGAGAAAGCAGGAGGTAAAATAGCAAAAGTACAGCCAAAATTGTTTATCATAATAAATTAAAATAGCATTAAACTTCACCATTGAAAGACAAGGAATCTCAACCTAGATTAAAAAAAAAATCAATCCTATTCTCCCTGTAAGAGACATACCTATAAAATATAACATGAAAAGTTTAAAAACCAAGAGACAAGCATCTAGCAGAAGAATGCACACAGGAAAAAATAAGCATAACCATAAGGATGTAAAAATACATTGTTGTTCATGGACCAGACAGTGGTACAGTGGTAATGCAACTGGACCCACAGAGGAGCATGCTGGGTTCATGTTCAGAATTCTCTTTGTGCACCAGGTGCATGCACACTTGCTCAGGATCCAGGCTGGCTGAGGCTGGGAGTGGATCAACCCCCTTGGTTTATTTAGTTTAGTTTTTTCTTCCATGAGAGATGAACGGTCACTCCTAGTAGGGCCCTCAAACAATGACCCACCTCCAGTCTCAGCCAGCCTGCATCCTGGGCATGTGTGTATACCCAGTATGCTCAGGGAGGTCCCAGGATGCAAACCTTGGACATTTCCTGTGTGGGTCCAGTTATGTTACTGCTTGACCATCACCTGACCCCCATTTGCTTGTCTGTTTGCTTATCTGTTGGGAGCAGGATCTGTCTTGCTCTATTTTGTATCTCCATCACAATATCTGGCACAGAATCATCCTCAATTAGTACTTATGAATTAGTCTATAATTTTTTTTTTTTTTTGCATTAAAGAAGAACCTCACTGGGGCTGGCAGGTGGCGTGGTGGTTACGGGTACTGGACTCCCACATGGCCAACTGTGGTTCAAGTTCTGGACCTGGTGGCTTGCTTTCTCAATTTCCCTCTCTGTCTCTCTCACTTTGTCTGTCCCTGATCAAATTTTAAAAAATAAAGTTAAATAAAATAATTTTTTTAAAGAATAACCTCATTTAAAAAAATAGTAGGACAATAAGAACAATTTATGGAGTTATGATTCTCTTCACAGACTTTAATATTACTCATGGTCCTTGATAAATCAAGTAGTCCAAAAAGACAAGGTTACAGAAAATAAAGACTGTAATTTTAAGATTCTATAGCAGAATGATAAAGATAAATATATGTATATAATTGACCTTACAGAGACTTCACTGTAATGAAACTAATCTCTGTAAGGTCAATTATATAAATATATAGGTTTCTAAAAATAGCAGATCTACAGGCCACATTTTCTATATTCTGCTAAATTCAGGGGAAAAAAAAGATAAAAAACCAAACCTAGAAAAAGAGAGACCCAAATCAAATTATAAATAATAAATGGAATATAACAAATCTTAAGAAAAAAATTTAAATTGTGGGACCACTGTGCATAGCCACATGTTAATAATAATGACAATCTTATGGCTACTTTCCAAAAAATACAAATTGCCAAAATTGACTCAAGAAAAATTAGAGTTCAATTGATTGATAATCATAGTCAAGAAGTACTTGTTGACATTGTGCTCACATTTTATAGTGATTTCTCTCAAACTTTTGTTTTTTAAAGAATTATTTATTTAGTTTATTTACTATTACTATTTAAATTTGCTATAGGGCATGTGGACTCATCGGAGAGAGATAGTGAGAGAAACAGAGAGTGGGAAAGTGAGACAGCAAGCCTCCATGTCCAGGATTTGAACTGCGATCAGCCGTGTGGGAGTCTAGTGCTTCAACCACCATGCCACCTGCTGGCCCTGCTTTTGAACTTTTAAGAGACAGATATTCTGAAAAATATAGAAGGCATTTGGAATGAGACTGAACTGATTGTGTTAAGGTGCTAGTATTTTAATACTCAGACAAAACCCAGGTAAGCCAAAACCACACATTTCCAGAGTCTGCATGTTTCTTTCTCTTCTCACACCCTGCAGACAATGTTTTTCCTAATTTCTGATTGTCACCTAGTCAGTTTTTCCAGGCTCTTCAATTGGTTCTCCAAGAATACTCCTTTCTTGAGTCTTGTTAATCTTTTCACTTCATCTCTAGTCATGGCTGGGCCTCCCAGTTTTCCCCACTGTGAGTCGTCCTCCTCATACATTTTCCCAGCCTTCATCATGCTCCCAGAGTAACAGCTTGCTCACTTTCCAACACACAAGGAGACCTTAGTACAAAGCAAGTCTACTTTACACCTCCCCTCCCATTGCTCTTACTCATAAAAATGGTTTTGAGTTGGAATCATTTAGATTTTCCAGCAAGTTGCAGTAACCTGGTTTAATTTGTTAAAACAAGGTACGTTACTTTAAGCAAGACAGGAATTGTTTCACAAAGAAAGTAGGAAAGAAAAATGTTCAAACTTGCTTTCACTATGGTTGAAACTAACTTGAAACATTGACTTCTGTATTCATTCTTGGCTAAGTTACACTGCAGGAGCCCCAAAATCTTAGTAGCTAACAATGAAGGTTGATTTCTCTCTCAACCACGTGTCCTTTTTGGGTTAGCTGAGGGTCTGCTCATGTTGTATTCACTCTAGGAACCAGGGTGAGGAGACAATCCCGTTAGGAGTACGTGTCTTGTGGCAGATTTAACGAGAAATGGCAGGGTGTGCGATGCCTTTGAAGCTTCTCCTTGAACTTTTCCTTCTTTCATGTTGCCTCTTATACTCTCTTAAATTGGCCAAAGCCTGATGTCAATGGACAAGGAGATATAATCCTCCTGCAGAGAGAGGAAACAAATTGGAATAATATATCCTGTTATAGTATATACTCTTACTCATAAATACTCATGTCTTTCCCTTTAGCCTAAACATATACTCATCCTCTGCCCAGAGGAGACACCCCAAAAATCCCGACCAATTACAGCATCAGACTTAAGAATCTCATGATATACATCAAATCTGAGTGAGCTCCTTGTGGTCTAGAGACGCATGAACTTTTGAGGCAAACCCAACCTCTTATATAAACCCAACATGGGTGGTAGAATAGGGTCAGGCAAAGAACCACATTCCTAAGGCAAAACATGGGCAAAGCATGGTAGTTGGGGACTCAAGGTGGTTCTGAAATCCTACTGGCCACACATTAGGGTGAGAAAATTTCCATAATTTAACCCTAGTTCTGCTTCCTGGAAATTATTCTTCATTTCCTTGTGATCTGTGATTCTCGGCTTCACTTCCTTAAAGAACAGTCCTTTTTCACTCCTTGTACTCATCAAGGAGGGCATCAGAAAAAATGCCCTTGTTGGGTACTATGTAATTTATCCTCATTGCTTGTGCCTGTAGGTTGAAGAGCCCAAAGATCATTTTAGTCTGTGAACAGTCCTGGTGTCTATTAATCCAAGGCTGTGTGTTCCTGGCCACGCGTCTCTCAGAAACGTACTCATATTTTTATCTGATTCCAATAGGTTTATGCTAATAGCCACACTCACAATTATTTATGAGACATACCTCTAAACTTAATAACAGGCTTCCTGAGAGAGTCAATTAACATTCAGAAGTATTAATAAAAAGCACTTTGATTTAATAGGCATGCATTATTAGTGAAGGTGTTTCTCAATTTTTATTTCTTACTAGTTGGAGATGAGAAACAATTGCTTCTTTTTTTTTTTTTTTTTGAGAGAGAGAGATTTTTTGCTATAGGGTACATGTACTCACTGGAGAGACAGACAAGACAGAAAGTGAGAAATGACCCCTGGGGGGATGACCACACTGTGATCCCTTCTTCTCCATTCTCCTCCTGGGATCCTGAGCATGCACACACACACGCTAGGCCTGAGTTTTAAACTGCTTGGTCAAGACTTGAACCGCGGTCGACTACGTGGAAGACCTGTGATATAACCATTACGTCATCTGCTTTTCTTGAATCATGCAAGACTAGGAATTTCTGGATTTTTTTTTTTTAATCCCAGTTTGTAAACCAACCAGTTCTTTCCCGAGCTTGTCTCTTTCTGGTATTACCTTGATGTAACTAATTGAAACCAGAACATGCTGTTTTCCAACATTCTACTTAAAACCACAAGCTCATTCAATATATATATCTGTTCTCCATGTTCTTAATATCACAGGCAACAGTTTTACTAATGTGTTGCTACTGCAGGACATGGGTCATTATATTTTTAGCCTTCAGGAGCAGTTTTGTTTTGTTTTGATTTCTCACTGCCTGACCCTGGAACCAATGTATCACATTTTAGAATTTTTTTTTTTTTAGGATAGCTTCTTACCTCTATGTACTAATTAATGTATTGTTGACATAGACCAACAATGGTCTAAGTTATACTGAGGTAGCAAACAAGGCTACAATTTCTATAGTTAATAACAACTAAGGATATTTCTTACCCACATTACTTGTCCTTTATGGGATAATTTCAGGTCTTCACCACTTTATCCTTATTCTGGAACTCAGGCCAGGAACAGCCCTTATCTAGGGCATGCTATTTTGAAAGCAGAGAGGAAAGAACAAATGATGGAACCACACAATGATTCTTAACACTTTTAATTGGATGTAGCATATGTGATTTCTACTCATGTTTCATTGGCAAAAAAAGTGACATGCCCAAACTTGGCATAAGTGAAATGGGAAAGTACAGCCCTTTCACTGGGAGGAGCAGGATGTCATTAGGAGTTCTAACCCCCTCGCTGCTCTTCTTAATAAATATGGTTGTGAACTTGTGTTTTATCTAATATGGGCATTAAAATAAGAAGCATGCTTAATGATACGTACCTACTTAGCATAAGATGGGAAATGCTGCTTTCTTGGTTGATTATAAACTTTTTTAGAAACATATGCATTGTATGAAGTGAGATATAATGCTCAAGTACATGAAATGGGGAGGGGTGACAGCAGATGGCTGGATGAGGAGAAAACCAAACTAGCAGGTGGCATTTTTTTTCTCTAGGAATCTAAATTGAGGGGGGATATTTTCCACTCGCTGTATTCCCAATAAGTCCCTGTGAGTTCTCAGGTTTGCCTAGAGCTGAACAGGATGGAAAACTGCTCATCTGATATCCTGAAAAGCTGAGACAAGTTTCCTTAGAGGATGGCTAGGGCTTGTCAATCATGCCTCAAGCTAGGTGCTCATGCTTGTAAGCCCACAACCATCTCATTTCTCTTTATCTCCACAGTTTGACATGCAAAGGATAACTCTGGAAGAGTTGAAGCACATTCTCTATCACGCCTTCCGGGACCACTTAACAATGAAGGACATTGAGAATATCATCATCAATGAGGAAGAGAGCCTGAACGAGACCTCGGGGAACTGCCAGACAGAGTTTGAAGGAGGTAGGTAGCCGCACTTTGTCCCTGGTCTTGGATGGGCCCATAGCTCCATATCCTCTATATGAAAAAATGGGTTTACAGTCTCTTGGGTGAAAGTGGCCTTGTACTGAAGCCAAAACTCCAGGACTGAAATGAAAAGATCCTTTTTGTAAAGATGCAGTGGGTTTCTTTTCTTTTTTTTTACCCCTAAAACTGCACTTTTGCAGATTCTCCATTGACCCTGTCCTATCTATCTCTAATGACTTTCCGAGGTCTGCAACTGGGTGTGCGGCTTTGTGGTATTTGACTACATTTGGTGGGTTTGCATGGTGCGGTGAAAGAGCCTGTTCAAGCTGGCGGCAAAAGTGGATCAAGTACTTTGGCTCATCATGTGACCTTGTGCAAGAGGCATACTTTCTTTGTGTTTCATCTATAAACATCAGCCGAACTACACATATTTCCACAGAATACTTAGGAATGGACAACCTAAATGCTCCAAAATGCACTGACCAAAAAGAGCCCAGAGACAGAGCCTTTCCATGAACTCAGCAAAGTAGTTACAGAAGAAATAAGGTTCCTCTGAGTCAAAAATAAAAAAGAAAAGAAATCCATGAAAGGCCATTTTTCTTGGATTCATTAAAGGAAATTTAAGGAAAAAAGAAAAAAAAAAGCTACCTTATCTCCCAATCAGTAGAGAGTTTCCTGGAAGCTAAATAATTTAATCCATCTTTCCAACTAAGAAAATCAGAGCTACTTTAACAGCTCTGATGTACAGGAAAAAAATGTTTTAATTACATTAAAACATCATAGCAGGCTATCAGCAATTTTTAACTTGTTCAACCATGAGATTTTTCTTAAGTTTATTTATTTCTTCTGAGAGACAGATTGAAAGAAAAAGAAAAATAGAGATAGGCACCCCAACAGGGTCTTCATGCCTCACTCCACCCCCAGCCTCAGCCAGCCTGCATCACAGGCACATGCGTGTATACCAGTGTGTACAGAGAGGCCTCAGGAGGACACTCATATGGGTCCTGCACCACAGAGCATTGATTACCCACCCACCACTGGCTGGCCCCAATGCTGAGATTTCTTAAAGAGGTCAGATTATTTTTTTCTGAATATCATGTGTGTGTGTGTGTGTGTGTGTGCGCGCGCACATGTGCACCAGAGGGTCTGTGTACTCATCAGAGAGAGAGAGAGAAAGAGAGAGACAGAGGAAGCATACCCCCCTAACAGGCATGGTCATGCCACAATCCCTTCTCCTTCACTTCATCCTGTTGGGATTTGGGGCATGTGTGTGTTTTTCAAGTCATCTCTGTCAGGATTCAGACTGTGAGGTGGGCTATGTGGGATTCAGCTCCCTTAACCATCAGGCCACAGACTGGCCTTTTCTTCTGAACACTTCAACCAATCACTGTCCATAGTTGGTAAGCCGGCACACAGAGCCCAGATGGACAGTTAGTTATCTGGTCTTGGCACTTCTGCACTGCAGTCAACCAGGCACTATGGTGGGGAGGCAGCTGGGCTGGAGCCATCCTAGGGGCTGTAGCTATTCATTCAGGCCTGGGCTCCCATAGGTCCCATGTGGGCTGGGTCCTGCCTCAAAGAGCCAGGATTGGGACCAGCAGTTAGCGTAATGGCTATATCGCTGAACTCCCATGTAGCTGACTGTGGTTCAAGTCCCGGACCTGGTGGCTTAAACTCATGCCGGGTGTATGTGCGTGCATGCCCAAGATCCCGAGAGGAGAATGGAGGAGAAGGGATTGTGACGTGGCCATTCCCCCTGGGGGGTGATTTCTTGCTTTCTATCTCTCTGTCTTTCTGGCTAGTGCATGCGCCCTATAGCAAAAATTCCCCCCCCCCAAAAAAAGAGCCAGGATAAGAGGAAATGGGATGGCTTGTACTCCGAGTTTACAAACAAAATGAACTAAAACCAGAGAGATAGTGAGGACCGGGGCAAAGTAGGCAGGAGTGCCCCCTACAAAAGTCACTTAATTTAAACTTTTCAAAAATGCTCTGTGCATTAAACAAAACCCAGTATGGCCCAGATGCTGCCTTGGTTTCCCTGATGTGACATGCGGGCTGACTTTATCTGGCTTTATTTGGAGTTAGAACCACACAGATAATGTAAGGGTAGGATGGAATCAGCATTGCCAATGCCTTTTCCAGTAAGACAATGCAAGGGGTTTGGGAGAGTAAGGAGGACTGAGGAGGGCAGGGATTGGGCTAAAACTTGGGGAAACAACAGGCCCAGCATTGCCATCCTACCTCGTTGCTAGCACACAGACTGTGTGTTCATGCAATTAAAGCATTTGGAGGTCTCGCCCCTGACTCTCAGCAATCATCCTTGAGAGGGGTAGGAAAGCATCTGGGCAGCTCATTTTCCACAAGAGCCTTTGTTTATGGATCAATGTTTTGTCCAGAGAAATGTCACAAGTCTTAGTAATTTGGGAAAGGTCAGACTACACTAGGAAGTAATCTAAATTCTAAGCAGTGCCTTTTCATTACTCAGAAGCTCATATATTAATAAAATAAATGTCTGACAATGGGGCTATCAAATAGAACCACTACTGGGTTTGCTTTATGATTACTCTTACAACATCGGCAATAGCCACCATTTGGGAGTAATTAATAAGTACCAGGCACTGTGCTGAATGACTTAAACTCTACTCTCTTGTTTAATAAAAGAAACATTATTTTGTAATTAGCACATTGCCTTTTTCACATGACCTCTGTTACTTTGTTTACACAATCTCTTTTGTATATTTTTATGTCAGAGAAATTTTTTTTTTGAGAGGTTTTTGCTATAGGGCGCGTGCGCTCGCCAGACAGACAGAGACAGAGACAGAAAGCGAGAAATCACCCCCCGGGGGGGGGGGGGATGGCCACGCCGCAATCCCTTCTCCTCCGTTCTCCTCTCGGGAGCTTAGGCACACATACACACATGCCCAGTGTGAGTTTTAAGCCACCGGATCTGGGACGCGAACTGTGGTTGACTACATGGGAGTCCAGTGACATAGTCATTACGCTAACTGCTGGTCCCTCAGAGAAATTTTTTAATTGACTAATTTATTTCTTCCATGAGTAAGAGAGACAGAGAAAGAGAAGGGGGGGGAATAAATAAATAAACAGGCACCTCATCAGATTCTTGGCGCCATGACCCTCCCAGCTTCAGCCAGCCCCAGATCATGGGTGCACCTGTGCTAAGCATACTCAGATCTCCAGATGTGAAGCTTGAACTCTTTTTCCAGTGAGTAAGCTTCATAGAGTACTGTGTTGTATTGCTAAGTTACCAGAGACACTTTAAAAAATAGGGACCAGCAGGTGGAGTAATGGCTACGTCACTGCACTCCCATGTAGTTGACCGCAGTTCAAGTCCCAGACCCAGTGGCTTAAACTCACACCAGGCACATGTGTATGGGTGGCTAAGATCCCAAGAGAAGAATGGAGGAGAAGGGATTGTGGCATGGCCATCCCCCCAGGGGGTGATTGATTTCTCACTTTCTGTCTCTCTGTCTCTGGTGAGACATACACATATATATGTTGTTTGGCCCTAAACACAAATTCCTTGGTTCATGTTTAGACTGAAGAATTTTCTAATGTGGGATAAAATCAATGTCACTGGTACATATATTTAATGCCCACATCCCGCTCACCTTATGGAAAGGGCCTCTCTGATTATATTTTGGGCAAAGGTATCTAGGAAGAAATGAACTCATAGGTCCTAAGTACTCCCTCGGCACCCTAGGACTGGAGTCCATTTGAAAAACTGTGGCTGACCTTGGCCTCCTCACTTCCATCCCTCCTGCTACCCACAGAGGGGTTATTTTGAACTTCTCCCTTCTTCTAGCACAGCCTGGTTACACAACTGTGTTGCTTCTGCCTCCAAAATTCTCTCCTCCTCTGAGCCTCAGGTCCTTTGGGGCCTCCCTAGTCCCCCACACTGTCAACCGCTTCCTGGCTTCTCTTGCCCATAGCCCAGGCTGCACGCCTTGTCCTGCCACTCCAGTCATGCCCTTGCCAGCATCTCAGGATTCCCTATATCCCGTCTGCTTCCTGCATCCCAAATCTCACTAACCCAGCATCTAACTATGAAAGGACAAGATAGTGTCTTTATTTCTTTCTATCCACAGAACTCTTTTCTCTTCAAATCTAATCTTCCCCATAATCCCAAAATAACTGATGAAAGGAGGGAGAGGGTAAGGCATTTTCCTTCCTCCTCCTCCCATTCTAGCTTTGGTACAACAAGGTTGTAACAGGCCTTGTAACTTCCTGATCACAAGATCCGCAGCCTCAGTTGAAGTTTCCCTCATTCACTACCTGGCGTCCAGGTAGGAAGTCATTCAGATTGCTCAACTACCAATCATTTACCAATACTATGTGGGGGCTTCATGCCTATCTCACCCCACTGAATATGGAGACTTCTCTGGCATAATCTACCAGTTAGAATCCTATACTTCCCAAGTCCTGGTGAGAATATTTGGTTATCCAAAAGGATAACTCTTCTAGTCACACTTCTAGTCCCTTATGTTCTTCTGAATCCCCTTGTTAAGATAAATTGTGCTAGGGAATCAGCAGTTAGCATAATGGCTATGTCGCTGGACTCCCATGTAGTCGACCGCGGTTCATGTCCTGGCCCCGGTGGCTTACAACTCACTCCGGGCACATGTGCGTGCGTGCCCAAGATCCTGAGAGGAGAATGGAGGAGAAGGGATTGCAGCATGACCATCCCCCCTGGGGGGTGATTTCTCGCTTTCTGTCTCTCTGTTTCTCTCTGTCTGGCGAGCGCATGCACCCTATAGCGAAAAACCTCTCCAAAAAAAAAAAAAAAAGATAAATTGTGCTAGAAGTATTTCTGTGTTGGTTGCCAATCTCTGTGCCCTAATCATTTGGAAAAATAAACAATTAGGCTAGCATCCATCATAATGGATTAGTTACTAGAGTATGTGTCACCCAGAATACCATGACCACCCATACTAAGTAAGAGTTTTAAGATTCTTTGCTTTAGTTTGGTCACTTTCAGT